ATAAGGTTTTGTGATACTTTTTTGCAGAATTAATTCTCATCGATTTTTTTATTAATTAACAAATATTGCGAATAATATGAATAATGTCTAGACTCTTTTTCTTATTTTATATGATCCTGTGATAAGAAAGTAACTTAAAAAGGCTATAAGGGTAATACGTATAATATTCTTAATCAGTAGTATTACCAAAATTCATATATTGTATGAATTCAGAATTATTGTTATTCTTCTAAAATCATCAGATCTAAATCTACTTTAAGCGATCATCAAATCTAAGAAGTTAATTCTGTAATTTTACCAGAAAATGGCAAAATAAATTCAATATTTGGACCTTATAGCCAAAACAGGGTTTCTTTGTTAAGTGTGATCTGGCATTATATAAGAGTAATGTAATTACTAAGCTTGAAATTTTTCTTCTGGTAGGTTCTCTAGATCTAGCAAATGTTGATATAAAAATAAGCAAGTTCTAGCCCGTAAGATAAGTTAGCAATAGTATTATTTTTTGCTCATATATATATATTTACTTGTCTACTTGCCTATAATTTATTTTTAAAATAATTTGCTATTTCATTTAATGGAAACTATGAAAATAAATTTTTGCTTACTTTGTTTTTTGTATTTAGATATGAAAAATAGGTAATAACGATCATATTGACATAGATCTTAATTGTCTTGTCTTGGGCTTACTGTATTATTTTTACAGAATTAAAGTTTTTAATAGAAACCATGTTCTCACAATAATAACTCAGATTCAGGCTAGCTTACCATCTAGATTAAGAAATAATCATTATCAGCTTCATAGATATTCTTCTACCCTTGAAGACTATCTTATAAATATAGATTCAAATAGTAGGATCTATGACTATTTCAGTATAAATCCTGATCAAAATATTATCCACATTATTGTAATACAAGAAGATAATTAATTTTTTTTCTATTTGTATTTTTTATTTGTATTTTTTATTTATATTTTTTTATTTGTATATTGTTGTTCTGGCAGCAATTTATATTAAATAAAGAAAGAGGTTAATAGCACTGCCATTTTTTATTTTAAAAAAATATATATATTGATGTGCACTGTGAGCTACAGATATAATATTTTCTATTTTTGACTTGTGATACTCTATAGAAAATTATACCTCTATTATTATGCTTTTATTTAGAAATTTAAGTATATTATTCTAAGGAATAGATAATATGAAAGATTGAGTCTTTAACTCCTGAATTAATTTGGAATTTTCAAGATAGACTTTTAGTACCTTGTCAAATAGAATCTCTAGGTCTTTGATATTATCACAATACAAATAATAAAATTTATTGCCTTGATTATCTGATCACCACTTACCTTGCAAACTCATATGATTTTCTCTATATAGTGAACAATATAAACTATACATGCTACCGAAATAGGTTTTTAAAAAAATCCTATTTCATCTTCATTAGAACAATTTAGAATTTTTTATATGCAAGAGCAAATCTAATTTAGGTAGTTATGTTCTTTATAATTTCATCTCTTTAAAAAAAGTGTTAAAAAATTTTGTCTTTTAAGTAAAATAGATCAAAAACAATTTTGTCTTAAAATTTTAATTTTGTACCCTGAAACCTAAAATAATTTCATTAGCATGTATAATGTGAACCAAAAATCTAATAAGTATTGGCTTGATCTTCCTGGCTCTACTAATGCACTGATATAAAGTTTTTCATTTGGTATCAGAGTTGTATGTAAGAATAAAATCGTAAATTAGTTCTTTGGCTTTTTTTATACCAACCTTTTCTTTGATCATAATTTTATTTACACTTTTATTCAGTCCTATAATAAAACTTCTTTAGCACAAAATTTTTGCCTGATTAGCCTTTACTCTTTTATTCTTTGCAGTATATACATTTTCATATAAGTGGTATATATTCTGCAATATGTCTGAATTTGATAGCTCTGCTAAATCCTCCTAAGACTCTATCTTTTTTTGGCAATTATTTTCCTCATAACCTGTTAGTGAAATTTTCATCATATGATTTTTCTCAAATCTGTCTATAGTAAAATCAAATACATCCTGCACAATATTTTCTGCTACTTTCTTCTTATATAATTAAAATTCTTCATTCTGAGTTACAGAAAGGCTCTAGAGGAAGCAGATAAATCTTTTGTAGATAATTCATGCAATAATTTTTTTTCTCTATTCTTCTGTTTAATCTCATTGCTAACTCTTTTCTTATACACCTCATCTAAGAAAGTATTTGTCTCTCTTTCTTTCACTAACTTGATGTTTGCATTATTATTAGATACTCTGATCACTTTGTGAACAAGCTGATCTATAACTGAATTGAAATTAGATGTATTATTATTAGAAGGGTTATCATTTTCTTTACAAATAGGCACATGTTGCTTGGGCTGAACTATAAAATCATTAATAGCTAATACTTCTGATAATATCTCTAATATTGCTTCCTTATCATTTTGTGATTGTTCATCTACTGCTGAACCCTGTTCTAATAATGCAAGTCTAGCCTTAAGCTCTCTAACTCTAGACTTGAGTTCAGCATTCTCAGCATTACATCTTGTATTTTCTTTAATAATTTGCTTTAACCTCGTATTCTTAGCCTCAACCTTAATATATTTTTTTCTAAGTTTACTAATTTTAGCTACGAGCTTAAAATTTTGCTCTTCTAATAAATCAATTTTAGATTGTGTGTTTGCTATTATATTTATATAAGATAGAAAAATATTCAAAAGCTTAATAAAAATTACATGAGTACTTAAAAAAATTATCAATTACTGAAAAAATAGCACTTTGTATTTGTGTCTGCCTTACAAATAAAGTTATATATAACAATAAGCTTTGTAAGATAATACAGATAAATTTATATACAGAATTATTCTAATACATATTAAATAAATATCTTTGTTATATGACGAATTATGTATCAATTCTGATTTATTTTTACTAAATATTAACTATTCAAGAATTTTCACATTCACATTACTTAAATATTCTCTGCTACTTTTTTACATGTTTTACAATATTGGTGTGAATAATGATTGCATTCATCACAGACCTTACATTTGTGCTTCTATCCTTTAAAGATATGCCACTTTTTGAAGTAATTTTGTTTGTCTCTACATATAAGTATGCTATTCTGATCTTTTATTGTTATATATTGACAAAAAATATAATGTGACTAAAACTTTTTTATTATACGTACAAATCTGTAATACGTGATACTTGTATTTGTAGTCTGTTTACAAACAAACCTCATAAGGCTAAAACTAGAAATATTATCCTGCTTCAACTGGTTAGCTTGTGCTCAAAAAACTGTTAAAACACTGTTTCAGAGCAATTACATTCTGAACTCAGTTTATATATATTTACTAATAAGCATATTTGCGTGAGTGATTTAATAAAATTTGCTTATCGCTATTACTATTTATTAAAACAAATACATAAATTACATTTAAAATATATAAAATTTTGCATATTTATTGTTACTATTTATTAAAGCAAATACATAAATTACATTTAAAATATATAAAATTAGTATTATAATGTTTATTGCATTATCGCTATTATTTATTTATTAATTTACACAATTAATTATACCTAATTATTAACCTTTATTACAGTCAATAATACCCACATCATACCAGGTCTTTAAGCAAAGGCTTGTGAAAATACTTTGCAAAATGAATTGTCTTGATGGAAGGTAATATTATGAGG